ACATGTTCTTGCAGTAGGGTCTTCCACAACACCTGGTTACAAGATGCCGGTATGACCCCTTGAGAATCTCCAGCGTGCTCCTTTCATGCAAACTCTATAGAATTTAAACGCATTACACATTCTCTTAAGCTCAAGCACAAACAAAGAAAATAAATTAATACCATAAATTAATGGAAGGATCATTTTTCTATTACGAATAGGCATGACAAGAAGAGGCACGTATACTTAAAATGGTTATTTTTTAGCATATTTTAATTTATAAAGGGATTCTGCACATCTACAGGAAAATATATACGTAGATATTTCCTGCGTGTGCACATGAGCTGAGAAAAAAGGTTTTTAAGAAACATGCTTGTCTATTAATACTGTATATAGGATATGAACATTGAACTTAGTAAAAATAATTAACTACGCAAATAGAGCCCTAAACATTGCTAGCATGGCTGATTGTCATTTTTTTATCCTTAAGAACACTTTAAAATGTGTGGATACATGTTGTTCTTAATACTAAGCTTTCGTCGATGGCGATATGCAGAAACTGCCTGGGTAGCCAGTGTTATTGTGTAACCCTCAAATCTGCAGGTGGCTGGTTCGATCCCAAGCGAGAAAGTTTCTAAACTCTGATACCATTTTTATCAAAGGGCTACAAATTTATGATGCTGTCCAACAAGCGGTCAACATTAAATTGTAACAAAGCTTAGATAAACGCAAAATACAATTAATTCAAACGTTAAAAGTGACTTATATTGCTCAGTGCCAAAATCATAGTTGCTAATAATCTAATGAACACCAGAGAGCATCCAATCCCAAAGTCATCTGATTCCTACTTTGACTTTGTTCTTCCACGACGCGACGACGAGTCCGGAAGTGATACGAGGTTTTGCCGAAGATGACGACGCGGTAAAAAACCGGAAGCCTGCGCACACTTGGGGGGAAAGTGGTCTGGTCAGGTTGGTAGCAATGAAAATGGTTCACTGACTCTTCTATAGCTTTCGTCTTTCAACGCTCCGGTTCAGGATCCAGGGTGGCGTAATTTTATGTGCGACGTTAACGCAGCGGCGTTATAAAACGGCCGTAACTTTGGAGAATACGTGAGGCAAAAGAGAACTAGTCAGTCGGCGCCGGGTTTCTATTTGTGTTCATAATGTTTCAACTAGTTTTAGTTTTTAAATTGCAAATTATTTCAAGATTACAGATTTTTTATCTTACATGAAATCTCATGTAGGACAAGTATCTTTTTACAATGACATGACTAAAAGCGTTAAAAGGTTATTTGCTTGTCAATGCGTAGAAGAAATTGTCGTTTACGCTTGCAATTCTCATGCAACAAGATGGATAACATGGACCGCCCCAACTGAACGGCGAAAAACTGATGTTATTTTAAGCTGTTGCATATATTTAAAAATATTTTTTCGTCGCCGACAAACCGAGGCGCTTGTAGTAAAGCCCAAAGACCAACAAAAGTTGGTTTCAGTTTCGAAACATTAAAACATCTGACTTTTCAGGGTAGAATCGAGAACGTTGTGTAAACAGGCGATGACTATATCGTTCACTTAGCGAGATATCAATGCATGGAAAGCCCTGCTAAGAATAATCCATTTTTGGCTTGCACTGGATACATCTTTATCGTGTTCGAGTTCGTCCAATAGGTTTTGATTACCAATTTGATTTGATGACCACTAGTCCTAGAAAGGTTTAAAACTTACGTTGTTTAAATACTTTACCTCATCATTGGCACTAAATATCCTGAGTGTTAATAAGTCCTGAAGTTATACACATACAGTTTATGTAAATCTGGTCACAGATATGGGGTTTTATCTTTTATTTCAAGCGAGAGATAAAACAGGTATTTTAGTATTGTAATAATTCATGTTCAACCGTTCAACGCAAAAAAATAAATCAACGAATTTTATCGAGCGCCGCGCTGTTGTGATCGTGGCATTCGCTTATTTAATCGTTTGGACCGCAACAGACAATAGAAGCAAAACAACGTGTATGGACAATAGCGTTAATGCGATATATATGTAAGTGTGACCCAAGGGTCATGGCTACCAACAATCAGAGAGACCGATCAGGGCTACCAACCTGGCCCAGCTACTGATAACCTTGGACAAGACATATATTAGATGCGGATCCGGCAAAGGCAGGACTAAGAAATAACTTCATACGCAGTCAAAGTTGTGACATGTCATAATAAAATACCCGAGAGATAATTTGTTAAGAAATACTAGGTGAACGCCGACGAAATCGAAGGTTACGCTACTGTTGGAGTTTCAAGCAAAAACTATCAATAGATTATGAATAACTCAATTGTTGTACAATTACTTAGGTTGTTCGTGATTCAGCAACGTGCTTAGGTATGCTTAGGTATATATATACATCGTGTAAACATTGTCCAAAAGAATACATTGGCCAGACTTCAAACTCTTTAAGGGTTCGAATGACAGGCCATCGTTTTGATGTGGTACATGAAGACAACAAAAACTAATTTACCATCATGCCGCTCACCACAACCAAAGTTCTGAAGGCTGCTATACCCTTAAAGCCTTTCACAAAGTAAACCCACGTCAAAACCCTAAATGCAACCAACTGACTTTAAGAAATTCTGAATTGGCTCACGAGTTGGTACTGAAAACAAAGTTCCCCTCTGGTTTAAATTTAAGATAGTAAAAAAGTGATTCAACTCAGCTAAATTTTAATTTTCTTTTAGGCTGATTTTATTTTTTATTTTTTTTTATCTGTACTCAATCATATGTTCTCAAAATTTAACTATTTGTAAACATTTCATATTTATTTGTTTTGTTAATTTTTACATTTTTCATTAATTTCTCTTTGCTTGAAAACATTTGTATTAAACGAAAATTTGCAATGTTCCATGTTTCATTTATCACAAACTCTATCAAGATCTCCTCAAGAATATATATATATAAACATATATCTTTCAACGTGACGGCGGGCGCGGCGTTAGCTAGGCAATATGCCTACACAATCCGAGTAGCTATATTGCCTACTTGCGCCTTAAGTGATATTACTGGTGAAAGGAAAGTGGTGGTTCTCGTTCGTTCTTCGTGACGTTCCAACCCAGGTTCTAACGTAGAAATAGTCAAGGTCAAGTAAAATAAATACATGCATGAACGTAATCGTATGCATTTCAACCACATGCTATTTAAATTCGATGATAATAATAATAAATGGTCTTTATTCAGCAAGCGTTTTTCAGATATTTACAATTCTGCTTTACAAAACAACTGTCATTAACCTACCTAAACTATAAAACAAAAACAATCTATCAAACAATCTAAAAACAATATATATAATAAATCTTCGAAAACAACCTCTGTGGTGATACATTGTAAAAACAATCAATATAAACTATTTATAAAAGAAATCTATAAAAGCAATATATAATAACAATCTATAAAAATAATCTATAAAACAATCTTAAAAACTATCCAAATATCAACAATGTACAAGAAACAATCGTTTGTAGCAAAGAACTCAAAACTCACCAAAATATTCTTTTAATCGGTTTTTGAATGAGTTAGGTCATATGATTTGCGATGATGTATATTGCATTTGCATACTTTATGTGTTATGTATAGTTATGATCATTTAAGATTAAGGATTTTTTATAAAACTTTTTTATTGCAACAACTCAAACGATAAAATTTAAAATCAAAATACAGTAATTCTTTTATAGTCATAACCCCGCGAAAATGCCATGTAGTTAAATGCACTTGGTTATTTTACTGTTATATTGAGTTTGTAGCTGTTGTTGTTTCAAGGCTCATTATCTTTTGTATTATACGCATACGACATTCATGTATTATTTTTATTGAAATTATCAGTTGGAATAAATAACAAGAATATTCAACTGACTTTATCACGCCAATGGTAGGCCTAAATACAAAATCAATTAAGAAAAGTCGCATGATGAGTTAATTTGACCTGATATCGTTTTGTATGTCATAAAATCTCCAACGTAATGGTATATTACATTACTAGCCCGGAATATGCGTGGTGACAAATGAATGTGATTATTGAACAATAATTGCATTTTCTCCATACTACTCTGTTTTAATGGAATAGTAGTTTGCCGCCTCCTTGATTTGGGATTTTATTACGTACAAATGCAACTATTGTACTATTGTAGCTTTGAAAACCACGTATATTTCGTAAACATAATCAAATTCGTAGGCCTATAATCAATCTTTTGACATTGAGTGGTTATAAAAAAATAACCTGTCAGAGCCTAAAACAAATACACTCTATGAGTGTGATTGTGCAGACAGATTGTTTTATTGATTAGTTAGATTAGTGTAGTATGGTGAAAAATATTGTACTCGTATAAACGTTTTTACCGTACTCGTATCGTAATCCCGTACCCGTACGGAACAACCATACTCGTCCGAAAAACACACTTATCCCGGACTAGTAACATAATACCATAGATAAACATACTCCCTTTTAATCCCATATTTCATAACTTAGTAGCTGAATTGCAAACACAAACCCTAAATGTTTACTGTCGAATCTAGTAATCAAAAGGTCAAAAGGTGTTTTTCAATCATCAGAAAAATTGTGTAACTTCTTGATGGTTCGAAATTGGGCCTAGCTGTCCTTGATCATTAATGAAACAGCTGATCTTAGTGAGTAACAAAACCATACGGATTTGCTCACTCTATTCTACATTCATCCTTCAATTATATTTGGGTGAAAATACATACCTAGGTGGCGTCCCCATCTCCATTAATAATGATAATAATAATGCTAGTTAAAAAAAAGTCTGGTGTTGTAGACTTGATGAAATGGAAAAAATCTTCCGTTGTCATGAAGTTCTGGCCGGAGGACTATTGTTCTGACTCGAAGGGAAGAGGTAATGGGTTGGACAAAGTGCTCCGAAGTCGAAGCCTCCCATAAACACCATTCAAGTCAGAGCAATAGTCCGAGGGCCGGGACGTCAGATCTTGGCGCGTTCCTCTAGCTTCCTCTTGTTCCAGGACGTGGACCTGACAGCGTGGGCGCCTGTCCTGACCTCCCTCGGTCTCCTGTTAGCCTCCGTCCTCCTAGCCGCCTCCCTGGTGGCCGCGTCACTACGGGTGTACCGCCGGGTCTGTCCCTGCACCAGGCCTCCGCCCCATCGTCTCCTGGAGTCCCCGCCACTGGGCAAGCAGGGGTTGGTACACTCGTGGCTAGGGTTGCCGCCCCAGGGGACATTGCCTCCTGTACTGTACCCGGCAGCCCCCCCACAACCACTGCTGGTCTACCCGCCACCTCTTATGGTACGTTTTATTTATTACTAGACAGCCCATTCCCATATAAAAGTTGTAGTTAGTTATAGAATGTAAGCAAGTGTACTGTAGTCAGATTCAGTGTAGTGACGTAGTATATTTAATGTCAATTACAGATTACTTTTCTTAATCTGCTAACTAAATAAGTAAGCCAAGCCTAAAAACAACTCCCTCTAAACTAAAGCATTTTTATGTCACTTACATTATTGAATAATCGAATAAGAGATATAATATAATTTCGACAGAGCATTCCGTTATTCCAACTATTTTCTAGTAGTAATCCTAATTGTTTATAATTGGTCCATTTAGATGGGATGTCGACTTTATTATCCAATAAGTCAAAAGTTTGATCATGTTACACTAAGGATTCATTCTTTACTATACAGAGTGAGTTTTAAATGAGTCCCCCCCTACTTTTTTCTACATTTCTTAAGATATCAACTCCGGACCACGTCAGATCATTGTAGAGTAGTAAGTACTTCATTTTGACTGGGTGTAAATTTTTGGCCGCCATCTTGGATCCGCCATATTGGATACAAAGTTTTTTTTAATGTAAAGGTAGGGTTGTGACCCATCGTTTTAAACTAGATTTTTATGCTGAATACGATGCTGCAATTTGTTTTTAAAAATCTTGATCCATTCTAAAGTTATGAGAATTTTTGTAACATTATTTTTATCCCATTTTAACATTGTGCATTTAGAAACTAAGAATATAATCGCAAAATAGTGCTAGATAAAGATAAGTATACACCACATAATATACATAAATCTTTATCTATCACAATTTTGCGATTATGTTCTTAGTTTCTAAATGGACAATGTTATAAAAAGTTCTCATAACGTTAGAATGGATCAAGATTTTTAAAAACGGATTGCAGCATCGTATTCAGCATTAAAATGTAGTTTAAAACGATGGGTCACAACTCTACCTTTACATTTGAAAAAAAAACTTTGTATCCAATATGGCGGATCCAAGATGGCGGCCAAAAATTTACACCCAGTCAAAATGAAGTACTTACAACTCTACAATGATCTGACGTGGTCCGGATTTGATATCTTAAGAAATGTAGAAAAAAGTAGGGGGGGGGACTCATTTAAAACTCACCCTGTATACGTTTTGTTTCGCATTGAAAATCTGTATCCATTTCTGTAGATGAAAGATGGGACTGCTTTAACCTGTGTAAAGTTGCGATCGGAGATCGGAGATATAAACGATATACTGTATTTATAACCTAGAGTTCTTGGGTACTGTATTCATATCTGCACATTTTCGAGACGTACTTCTGGGGTTTCCATAGGCATATAGGTTTACTTGACACTATTATAAATCATACTTTACGAACCGGAGTTTCATTTTTGGTTAATCGTTACAGTTCAGCTAAAAAGAACATCATTGCTCAATTGAGGACCCCATCTATATCAACATAACTCAATTATCTCTACTAATCGTCAAACAACAAGATAAATCACCAATTAGTAAACTACAGAATGCAGATACACCTTCACAATTAGCACAGTTCGTCCTAATGGACGACATGGGAATGTCCGTGTGAATGAACGCTTATTAGCTGGGTTTTGTAATTCATACTACACAGTATTGTCTTACGCAACAAACTGAACCCGGTTACTCGGATTAATGTTAAGATCCTAAGATTATCAAGATTACTAAATCTTAGTAGTGATTATGAACCGGTTTCTCGTGAGGTATACATGTTTTATACATATTTTTTATATTTGTATAGTGATCATAAAACGAGAACAGGAATGCAACATATGCTAGTGACAAATGTTTGAACTTTGTCCAGTTGTACCACTGCCACCGGAGTTAAAGGTGGCCGCGGTTATACGGTGTAGATAAAACACCACCGCCGCAGCAAACCTGCCGACTAAGCGAATTCCTATTCACGTAAATTGATTTTCAATTAAATTAACATTTAGGTTTAACGATTACCTAGATTTGCTGCTGCAGAAAAACTAATAAATTGTGTTTTTTAGTAAAATAATAATAATAGTTTAGTTTACTTAAATAAATTTGTCAAGTTTGATCAAAATATATAATAGACAAGCAAACTGCAACATTTTACAATATTCTCTATAAAAAATAACATGGGAATTTTAAATGAATTTTTTCAATTTTCTCCGTAACCAATGACCGTAAAATAACACTTTGATATACTAAATAATTTGGTTTTTTTAAGCTTTTTAGAAGGTCTGGAGAGAAATTGGGAAATTTCGTGTTTTGGGGATCCAAACAGATTCCAAGTAAAACAGTCGAACAAAACTTTGAACACAGGTTTTCTATTAGTTCTCATATTGAATACTTTGCCTTAACTGAACTGGGTCATAGTTTCCGTTAAGTTGGCGTTGTGAAGTCATGAAATACTGTATATTGTGTGTTTTTATAGAATGTATGGTATAATAATATAGGCGAATAACAAAATGTGCCAAAACTATTTAATATGTCTACTAGTTCATCGTAAACCTTACATGATGATTTATTTATTTATCGTTCGGTCGAACAGTGTTCGAGATCGTATTCAATTAAACTCTTACAATAGTGCCAACCCGTTTTGGAAAAGGGACAAGATAACATTTTGATACTCCAAAGAGATTAACAGCTTGTTATTTTGCAAGGTATAGACGCTTTTAGCGAATTTCCCTATAGGGAAGTAGCTATTACCGTATGTGGCATGGTAAGACCTAGGCCCGGGACCGATTTACTTTTTCATTTTGATGTTCCCAGAGGCCAAAAACACCATTCGTTCAAATTTTTATATATGTATATGTATAGACTTATATATATATATATATATATACGTCCGTGAACGCGATAACTTGATTAATTTTTGTCCGATTTTGACGAAATTTGGTTTAAAGGTGTAAAGCGGGATAAACTTGAATGAGTTCGCGAATCAGCACGATCGGACCATGGGAACGGGGCTTTACGGGGGGTTTTATGGGGTAAAAATTGGTTTTTCTCACTTTTGACCCTCAAAACAGAAAATTTCACAATTTATTTCTAACCCATTTTGTAGAGCTTAAAAAAACAAATAATTTTGTATATTGAAGCGTTATTATGCGCCTAAAGGTTACGGAGAAAATTGAAAAAAATTTTAATTTTGAAACTCCCATGTTATTCTTATGGAAAACTAGCAGAGTACCCGTCCTTCGTACGGGGTTGGAATATAAGTATAAAATGCTTATTGCAGTTATACTCAAGCTTTGCGATTGCAATGGGTGGAGGACACAGTTTGATAAAATTTGCTTTTTTAAATTTACAGTATTCTATAGTATTACACATCTACCATAGCCATAATGTTCTACCATTTTACCTAAACAATAGAGAAAAATAAATTATCAATTCGCAAAATATCACAAATTATTCATGAAATGAAAAACATATACATAACTGTAAACAATCCTAATTTGACAGTTCTCATTGCGAATCACAGTTTTTTGTTGCTGCTTAGTTCAAATTAGCTGCTTCATAAATGCAAAAAAAATATAGTGCTGCACCCTGTTGGTAAATCTTATAACTTTTTAATGCTTTTCCATATCATAGAACCAACTTTTTTAGTTGAAACAGCTGACTAAATTCTTTAATTCCCTTTAAATATGAATACTCATAAGGTTAACATGGGGAATTACAGAGCCACTGGGGCGGAGCCCGAAAGGATTTTTGAGATAAGAATATGCCTATATGTTAATCGGGAATGTAAGCTATCATCATGCCAAATTTCAGCCCAATCCGTCCAGTGGTTTATGCGTGATTGAACTTCAAACAAACAAACAAACAAACAAACACACAAACTTTCACATTTATAATATTAGTAAGATAAGTCAACTGTTGTAGTATGCTTGTTTATGAACATGTTTTGATCAAATTTGGAAAATACATTAATTTCTTACTAAACTAGAGTACCTTTTAACATTTGACATTAAAAAACACTTTTTACCCTCCCTTTTGCAGCAAACCTAAGTAGTCGTTAAACTAATTCTATTTAAATAGGCAATAAATGTGATATTTTTAATGATACATTTTAGTGTAAATCGAATCAGGTAATTGGAAATTCGCTTAGTCTGCAGGTTCGCTGCGGCGGGGGTATTTACTTCAACGTCTAGTCTCCCAAACCCTGGAATCGCACCAGGAAATCTACAGCGTCCCACCACAATACCGCGGCGCCTCCCGTTATGATAGCGGCGCCCGTGTCGTACAAGTACAATATGTACAACGGTCCTGGGCAGTTTGTCTCCAAGGAGGGTAATTATCCCATATCTGTGTCCATCTGTCGTCAAAACCAGGTCGCGCGACGTTATAATTCGGCGGATTTCGCTGGTTGTACCCACGTCTTTTTGATGAGATTTCCTGGTAGATGTTAGCTGAGTTATTAAATTAAAAAATAGTCCTTTGTTCAGTTGTAGAAGACCCATCACGATTAGTAAAGAAGGGTTTCAGGACGTTACGCCAAAGCTATAAATTAAAACACCAACATCGAGAAGCACAGAGATCTGCAAGTCTTGTTTTGTTTGAGCTACCATCTAATTTCAGCCCTTTAACGCGAGATTTACATTCCAATTTTACCAATTATTGTTTAAAAAAAACCTGTTATAACTATAAAACTAATACTATGTCTTGGTTTTCTTTTTTCTTTTCCAATTTAGGCTTGGTTTGTTTACAATTCTTATTATTTTTTAGGTGCTTTATCACCTGAGGACGCATACTAGATCAGATTTCGGATTTCGAAACATCGCCAAAACTTATTTATTACTGTTATTTACTAATCGTGGTGGAACGCCCGCAAAAACCTCTTAAATGTCATATCGCAACAAATGTACTGTACAAAAAAGCATAGCAATATATTATTATACGCGTTATGTGAACAAGGTGATAAAATCATTGTTATTCAATATAACACTTGTTTGCACCACAAACAACAATGAAAACTGATTGGGCAACTGTAGATTTCAATACATCGCTGCGGGTTTACTGGCCTCATACCGTGGTCCAAATGCCAACCAAATGCCGCGCCCTTTATGTCTACCTGAGTGTGACATTATGGCGGGAATCGATCAGCTGTTAAGGAATTTCCCGCTGTTTCCACACGAGCCGGTGTATAGTCACGGTTGATTGGGTATCGGGTAAATGGAATTGTCAGAAGGGCAACTGCAACTTTTCACAGCATCCTAAATTAATGTGATAGTTAACCATAATTGTTCTATTGTTTTCTATTTTGATTACAAAATATGCCTACGTGTATCACGTGGTTGCAAAGGGTCATGTGTATTTACATCTTTACTGAGAGGGCAGAGCAATTAATCTTGTTGTATGGTAGTCAAACGTATTGCATCAACCAAATTCGGAATCAAATCTGTTGAAAATCCAAAAACAATCAAAATACTTCGAATCGTGTAAAAAAACGCGAAAAAATCATTTCACAGCCAAAACCTAGTTCCACTACTGGTCAAAGTACGGCTATAATGAATAAACGAAAAGAAACGAGCACATGCAAACAATAGTGTAACAAATTCTACAACCGCGGAGTTTCCCACGAACAGAGATGTTAGCAGCGCAATAACGCCAGCCTATTTCTGTTACAGTATTCAAATGTACTGGCCACTGTTCCTTCCCACAGCTAACGTATACAGTTTCATGGTATGCTCTTTTCGAGCACGTTTCCGACAAACGCCAACATAGCCTACATGTAATTGTGGTGATTGTACGTTTCGCTTTTATTAGCCTATACTAGGTTTAGTCTATACTAGGTTTAGCCTACTTGTTTCCAAATGTAATCTACTTTCATGACTCTAAAACTGTATGGGATGTGACCTACTATTTATTTAAAGCATTACGTGATTCTTCCCTGATCAAGTTAGGGCTTGGTTAACCCAGTTGAGTGAGTATTTACTAATTTAAAATATACAGAAAAAACACACAATAATTTAACTAACAGTTATTTAGTGTGCAAGGGGATACAGTAGTCTGAGTCACAGTTTACAACCAATCGACAATATGAAATTTTGTTTCATTTTTATGATTTCGTTGAGTTTATATTGTCTATGCATGGTCACTGCCTTTAAGTTGTAGTCAAAATCATAACAGTGCTGAAGTTTTTAGAGCTTGCATGCATTTCAACCATTGGCATACGTGAAGTATATATTTTAATATAGTATGTAGGTTTTGTCATCCAATCGTTTTGTCAGTTAATTTACGCTGTGTTAATTAATTTAGCCATGTGGCTACGGTACTAAGTGGGAACTATGGCCCTGAATCAATTAGACAAAATTATGGCAATCCAATAGGATTTACTATATTGTGGGTTTTCATTACATTTACGTGAATTGTTGGTGTCCATTTATTTTCTAGAAGGATTTATTCTCAACTAAATCAAAAGGGAAGGTGGGAACTATTACTATCCAACGTCGATCTATTTACTTCGCAAGGAGATATAATACATTAACAATTAAAATATATTTACCCATTTAAATCAGATATCTTATAATATTTATAGTAAGAAAATGACGGAATAATGTTTGGTTGTTGGGCATAGCTCAAGGTATATCTGCTTTAACCTCCGTTGGTTGAATATTTTTAGACTTATGAACTGTCTTTTTAGTGCTAGCCGTTTTCGTTGCACCAGATAACGAACGTTAAGCTTGCGCAACCTCTAAAACCCATGTCATAGGACCATAGACAAACTTGTTGTCTATAATATGACTATTTAATTACGTTAAACGAGTAAAATAAATTATTGCTTGAGGACAATCATCGGCAAGGAAACACGCTCACGCACATGATTACTAGTCGATCAAGAAGAAAGTGAAACCAAAGCGGTGTCGGTGGTCGGTGTGGGCAGAAAATCGAAAGTGGTATCCCCCGCGGCGCAGGGGCGAACATTAAAACATAACTTGAGCTTGCTTTCCCTGCTCTCGCCGCTTACTTTCCATCTCTGGGGCGCAACCGGTTGTGGCAAGGGCAAACCAGTCACAGTCATCACCCATTACATTGGTCATTTGATTGAGGTCTTTGGTCTTTGTCGTGAAGACCTCCACTATTGAAATCTGCCCTAAGCAAATTAAGGTGTGGTACAGTAAATGAGAAATAGTAAATTTATTCATGTTAACACATTAACAGTTTTACTTACACTTTGTGAACCTAAGCTAAACCTAAACCATAGAGTAAGGAAATAAGACTTTTTTTCCTTAGTCTATGCCTAAACTCACGTTATTCACGCACGTTGATTGGTAAGCGCTGTGTCTGGGCTTAGAATCCGCCCTTTACCATAGTAGGGTAACCTAACAAAAACCCTACCTAACCTCATTTTCATCAAGCTTCCCTTGCAAAGAGCAAATTTTAATAGTCGCGGGCTTCTTGAAACGAGCCTTCGGTTGTTTGCAATGTAATTACGGATTTCCTTATATTGTAATGTCCGTTACTTTATCTCCGATTAATGAAAGACGTCAAGTAGTTTATTGTTTTTGGTAAAATGTTTGAGATTTAAGTTTATAGTCGAAATATGCTTAAGTGTTTCAATGCTCTATAAAACAAAAAAATTTTAAAATTACCTTTTTTATATATTTTTGTATAATAACTGTTTAACATTTATTCATTTGAATACTTACAGAGGTCAGACACTGCAGTGTGGAATAAATCAATAAAATGATTTATTGATATGTTGATAACCACATGGACTATCAAATATTATTGTTGTCCGTATTTTTAAAAATGGATAAAATTACAATGTTAGCAGCATATGTACAGACAACTTTAAGGTTTCAAACAGAGTTGAGGGAAATAGTGCAGACCTTTCTTGATACAGTTTACTTTTTAGATGGAAGGCAGTGGGCTATATACAGTGCCGCCTAGTTCAGTGGGATACCCACAATGCATCAGTCCATTGCCCAACAACCCCTACATGCAGAGGAGGAGATCTCCTCACCCTCACCGTGGGAGACACTCTGTGGTATGTAAGCATAATGTAAGGCAAGGCTATACTGAAAAAGGGATCAAGCCGTCTAAAATAGCACTATATATAGATCCGACACCTAAACCCAAGAAGTTCAAAATTACAGGAGTTGAGGTCCTTCTTTATTTGATACATAGCATTACTCTCAGCAACTTCCTAAAATATCCCAAATAACTTACTTGAATAAAATAACTAAACTAACTAAATAACTATAAATGAAATAACTTCTTGTTATATAAGGGGTGTTTATATAACAAGAATACTAATTTGTTAAAAGTTTTATTGTACTAAAGTAAATTTGGATACAAAAGAAAATTAATGACCACACTACCACATCTAGCATGGCAATATTGTCAATACTTGTGTAGGAATCCATAGAGGTTACTAAAGAATCATGTAGAGTTAAGTGAACACCCAGTGCTATACTGATAGCTAGATAGCTGAGAGGTTATAGTGCTCGCCTTCGCCTGGTAATTAAAAGGTTGCCGATTTGGACATGAGAAAGGTTAGCTTTTTGATGTTTTGAAACTGTACCCAGTTATCTTTGATCATTAGGCTTTTAACAAAATGGTCCTTGCTAGCTACTGAAATGTATCAGCTGGTCTTAGTCAGTACCAAAGCTACACGAGGCATTTGGGTAAAAATAAACATCTACCTATGTGGCATCCCCATCTTAATTGGTAATTTGATATTGTTATCATGGGATTAGACCCTTCTGACTCTCACTGCTAGTCTTGCCATGAGTAGGTAGTGTTTCCATTTGATCATTTATCATTTATTAATAATATGAACTTTGATTTATTAGTCAAATGTTTTTTGTATGGGAAATAATGCATTTGCCTCATTGCACAGCCCATTGCACGAATGAAAAACAAAAAATTCACAGTTGCAACAGAGGCTAGTGTGCATGCCCACAGAGAAAATGTACAGAGGAAACATTCGATCACTTAAGTGGTGTCTAGCACTAGAGCTGATATCTAAGGCAAAGTAAAACACTGCCCTCCTCGCCCTCATGTATAAAGCGCAAGTAAAAGTGCTTACTGCTCATTTTATGAAATGTATTAAAACCTACTTCTGTATACTTTTTCAAGCTTGTTTTTGAATTGCAACACTTGAATCCAAGCCTTCCCTAACCTTCATCTTTCCTCCTGTGAACCTGGTGTCTTGTACCCCTGATTTTATTGTGTTCCAACCAATGTATAGTCTAGCATTTGTTTATTGCAGAAATAATCAAAATCTTCATAATGCAAATATTGTGAATGAATTTGTAATACCTATATTTAACATCACCAATCTTGTCATATCTTACTTTATATTGTTGAAATTATAAGTACTAATTAAATGTTACTCGTTTTCCAGACACCAGACAGCACAAAACGGAGTAGGCGACCAGAGAAACGGGAGAAAGAAAAGCGAGAGATAACAGACGAACAGCTAGAGAAGACATACACAGGACTGGACAGAGAAATAGCGGAGGAGTTTATCTCGATAGCGATGACCAACTCACAGAATTCCTCATCAAGAGGGCTTAGGCCCAACAGGGACAAAGTGATTGATTGTATAGCGCCTCGGTGAAAACATTCTTGGTGCCATATCTGTGAAAGCACTGCACAAGTGTGAAACATTATGTCCTAAGTTTCTTAGTAGACAATGTAACAGATAATAAATATTTGTCAAAGAAAGGAACGGAGAGAAAATCCTGGACTTAGAGAGGATTGTGCGATCAAGTAAGAGCTCTAGTAAAGAGGGCAAAGATTAGTGTTGCTTTGAATTAAGGTCTCCAACAAGCCCCAGTCACAGCCCAGCAAGCTACAATCAAAAATCTGACAGCACTGTGCTCTTTACTTCTCTGAGTATTAACTCCTTAATAATCATTGCAAAATTTGTTAATAAGCATTCACATAGGCCTATTAATTATGTGAAATAAATCATTATATGATTTGCTTTTATAATTAATTTTCTTAGGTCTAGAAGGTCAACCCTTGTTAAAGTTAACAAATGTGACAAAGAAAACGTGTTTTGATGTAGAAAATGTGAGAGGTGGGTGTTTGTTTGCACAATGTTGGCCGCTAGTAATCGTTTGAGTTGGTGATCATACACACAGAAAATATGTATGTGGATAACGGTTTGGTGTCTAACTCTAAGTAGTCTGATGATTATCCATAAACTTTAATCACTGAGTCGATGGGAACTGATGGCCTACACCGTGCCAATATGTAGGCCTATGGTCTTTTACAAACTTCCAAAACCACTTAGACATATTTCAACACTTTTCACGTCCATACAATTTTCTCTATACTTGTCTATCAATTGGACATTAATTTCAATAGTATTATCACCCTATTGGCTGCAATCGGAGCTCCTTGAAGACCTTAACCAGACAGGGAACATACATAATTTTAGGAAATGTCATGAGTCAGTTTTTGTTTGGGTGACAACATAGTAAAGCGGCGAGGCAAAGCTAAGCGGGTTTTAAATCATACATGTACCCGCGCCAGCACGCTAACCTCTCCGCTCCAATTTTCTACCCCAATTTCTTTACCTCGAGGATCATGCTCAGTGGTCAAACCGACTAAAATGTAGTTTTATTTTGTCCGTTCGTAAACACAGTCCTGTTTGGGACCAGGAATAATTTCATTACAATGCATGAAATGATATCGAGTAATTATTCTTGTCAAAAAAGTACTATTTTCCCATTAAGTCACATATTTAATTTACAATTTATCCTGAAAACAGTTTTTGTAACTCTTTTATACATGTTTCTATAAATATATTGACAATTTTTTTTATTTGAAATATGTAGTCAGTTTTTCAATGAATGGCCACTTTGCTGTTTCACTATTTTCACCATTCATTCATTTCTTTACAAAACTAGTACATTTTACCCTCATGATAGATAAATTAGGTTTTAAATTATATTCCTAAGTACTGTAATACTGTATGTAATTCAGCCTCTTGACTCGCTACTGTCGCCGCTCCACTATGTGCATGTGCAGCACCGCTACCATCGGGGGTAAAAAAACTCTCAGCTAAGCTCTCCTCCACAATCTAGCCTCGCTGCTCCACTGTTTTCACCCTCACTTCCAGATCAGCCAGCAGTGGGAGATTTGTTGTTTAAAGATTGGTTTAATAGGTGTGTTAAGTAATACCTATGTTTATACTACCAAGAATGCTCTGTCGAACACAGGATGTGAAAATCCTCCAGCAAAAGTTGTATCGGGAAACTAAGGCACTCATACCACTAAAGTGTGTTTTATATGTATCAACACGTGTCTGCCGTACCAACATATAAAATGTTTCAACTGTGGCCACGTCAGTCTCACAAGATATGCATCCCTGATCTATATTATATGTATACATTTACAAATGCAAATTATTACTGAAACTTAAATGTGTTATTTATTAAAATAAAAATATTTTTTATTTCTGAATGAGTGAGTCCAAAAATTGCATATAACTTTCTCCCTTCATAGCTATTTAAACAAGGAATATCACACTATTATGTAGGTTCCTTTGTTTGACCAATGACAATGTTGCTCAATTTTACAATATTTGTAAAAAATGTTATTTAACAAGTGCTCAACCTGTTGTTTGTGTTAAAGTATTTCTAAGTACTGTAATGAATGTTACCTAAGAATTAGCACTAACATAACTAACATTTGACTATAGTACATCACGTTAACAGCTATTGAGTTGGCTTTAAGGTAATAGTTTAGCATACAGACACCAACTATTACTTTCAATAGTTTTTTTTTACATTTTAAACAGAGAAATTAAGGTGAAAAACTGTAACACTTCATACTCATATTTTATCAAATTCAGCTTAAAGCCAGCTAAAATGGTTTTTATTTCATATATTTTGTACATTATTTTGTAAATAAATAATATAAAATGATTGTTTCTTCTTAATCTAAACCCTTATTTGTGATTATAATTAATTTAAAATAAATAAATAAAAATAAAAACTGTAACACTTCATACTCATATTTTATCAAATTCAGCTTAAAGCCAGCTAAAATGGTTTTTATTTAATATATTTTGTACATTATTTTGTAAATAAATAATATAAAATTATTGTTTCTTCCTAATCAAACCCTTATTTGTGATTATAATTAGTTTAAAATAAAATAAATTTGTTGACCTTATAATAATAAGGTTATTACTTTGATAGTATTTCAATATCATAATCATTTCTGGAAGCATGAAATTATTTTGTAGCAGCAATTATTAATATTTATAGATAACTGATTGTCATAAAGTTTAACTAAAAAAGACACTTATAACAAATGGTTCGCCATTTAAAGAGAAGTGACAAAAATAATAACCAACAGTGTGATGATAAAGAAAGATCAGTTAGTCTACTATCTACTACCACCTTTATGACTTCCACCATATTCTAGGCAGTAAGTCAAGGTTTTACTTTAAAACAGTAAAAAAGAATGATGCTAAGAACGAGTCCATTTATAACAAATAAAAACAAAAACATCAAATATCACATAAACCTAAAAAATACTCGTAGATTAAAAAAAGTTTTAAACAGAAAACGCAACAATAAAATTATTTAGGCCTACATCTGAAGATAACAGTTGCTCTATAATATTACAAATATGTCCTCTTAAAAAATGCATTAATATACATTACAACATTATCAAACCTTAACACTAAAAAATGATTAGCCTATAGCAAGTTTCCTTTTGTGCATTATAAATATCAATGCTTGCGTTTTCGTTTTAATGATTTAGAATGAGCTTTACCAAGATGGAGACGAATATTTTCTTCTTGATTTTCCATTATATTAGAATTTTGGTAAGCTCTCGCATCACTCTCATATAGTAAGTACTTCTCACACCTTTCCAAAAGTTCCGAACAGTCTAGTTCCCAAGACAGTGTTTGGTTCTTCAGACAGTTAACTACTATTGACAAATCATCACACATACTTTGAGGTATCCCGATTCTGTTGGAGTCATACACTTGAAAACACTGTGAAATTGTTGGGTTCAATTCTTGACCGGGAATTCCATTGTATGTAAAATTTTCTTTCAATGAAAGATGTAAGATCTGCGGAAAAGAAAAATCATAGATAGTTGTGAGATTTAGATTACTGTCAAGTTGGGTTTTACCAGACAAGTAAAATTCACTGTGAAACAATTCCACTGACTCACTTTTGTCAACACTCTCTTTGTTCTGCCCCACAGCTCTGATCATGTCCAGCCCATTCTGTGATGGGGAAAGTGAAAATGCTGTCAGAACAAATTCCCTGTACAGCAAGGAATCACTCTTAAAGTACTCTGCTAGCTGTAAGATTGCATTGGCAAATTGCACTTTGAGTTCTTTCAGTTTGACTTGATCATTGTTGATTTCACACATCTTTATTTCATTCACATGAAGAGTTAGTCCCCTGATAAAGACCCCAACACGAAACTCCCCCTTATTTGGCTGTAGGCATACTCTTTTTATCAGTTCTTCGCCCACCAAGTAAATATACCTAGGACATGCCGTGTTGGACACTAAATATTCTACCTTTTCAAATAAATTGTCATCTCTAAAAACATCAAGCCACAGTTGAATCAATTCCCGAATAGATTGTTCATTTGTATCTTCTCTAATCACAGTGAATGCCACAGTTACCACACTATTGATGGTTTTTTTCAAAGCACTTTCCACAGGCAGCTCACCTTTTTGACACTGCTTGACAAATCTCAAACATTGATAGAATCCCATTTTTTCTATTTCAATTTTAAATTGATCAATGTCCTTTTTCATATGAAGGATAAGCAAGTATAAATCTTTCAGATCTGTAACTTCCTGATTTGAAGACCCAAGCCACTCACTATTACTAGCTTTAGAAATACAATCGAGACATTTTTTCACAATAACCGATGCTTCGACCTCACACTTAGCATAGACTAATACTTCTACACGAACTCTTAAAAACACTCCTAATTCATTCCTCACAAAATCCAAAAGTTCTTCATCAGTCATTCTTCCACCCTCCAAAATTGTTGCAACAATACTACCCCATGGATCATTTTCCATTAACTCTAAAAGATAATCTATGTTGCTGACAACATGAAAAAGTTTCTTTTTCTCTGCTCTAAGTTTGAGTTTGTTTAAAAGCAATTGCAAGTGTGATGCAATCACTTTATTGTTCATCCAGTTACCGTGGAGTACCAACATTAAGGTATATTTAAGTAGTATCTCACACACCACTGAGGTCACTTCAGGAGAGATTCTTGTCAAACAATCTGCCAACAAACACTCCAAAACTGACATAAGCGCTTGAACTTTGCTTTTGTAACTTTTTCTATCGTCATAAATAGCTGATACAAGAATCTCTAAGGCTCCAAATATGGCTTGGTTCAGATGACTTTTTGGAAAAACTGATCTTAGAAGAGGCAGATCAACATCTTTTATTCCTGAAGTTTTCTTTGCCAACATGGTTTATATTCAACCTTTTTCAAAAACTGCAAAAAGTGACTTAATTAATGCCTTGACACAAACAATTAATTAGTCACAAATTATTTTGATGAAAATTACTATTATTGTAAACTATGGCCTTCATGAGTAATACATTGTGTTAAGAACATTATGTTGATAACAGCAGGAAACCCCAGATGCATTGAACCCCATGAAAATTCAAACCAACAAAAGAATGTCATTCGCTATTGGGGTTATAGCTTTAACTTCACAAACATGCAATAGAACACACAAGTCCATGTTACTTAATATAATTTTGATTGTCAAGTTGTACCAAGTCAACTGTGTAGTAAGATTTTAGCTAAAAAACCTTTGACTATCCAATAGTCAATGATAAAACCCTACCGAAGAGCTGTGTAGAGTAATTTTGTAGTGAGTGTACAAAACAGTAAGGAAATTCTGTCTTTCCTATGTATCTATTAGAAAATTTATAAACTTGACACAAGGGGAATTTAGTCATCAAGGCTAAAACAAAATTTTACAAAATATTAAATGAATGATTTTTTTTATTTAACATTAAATGAACTTATCAGAAAAAACTTTAATGAGTTCTCTACAAATTATAATGTTACATTCTTGTTTGTAGCCTGACGATGAAATGCAACCTGGGTTTATGAATGACGATGATAACTATTGAATTACATAGTGATGGGATAACCGAATGGTTTCCATAACCGAATAATTGGTCAGTTATTTGTAGTGTCAAATTGGTTGTTTTTATATAATAGGTTACGTACCTTGCTCCGTCTTCAGTCTTAACTTAGTCTATGGATGACTAGTTTCGGGTACAAAGACCCATTATCAAATCCTTATTTAAAACATCATATTGAATATGGTCAAATATCCGACGTAAGTCTTCATCAATGTATACATGCAGGTCGACAACACATAAAGTTTACACATTTAAAAAACAAAAGTTACAAATACATTTACGATATATTCAATATGATGTTTTAAATAAGGATTTGATAATGGGTCTTTGTACCCGAAACTAGTCATCCATAGACTAAGTTAAGACTGAAGACGGAACAAGGTACGTAACCTATTTTTCAGGATGTTTTTTTTTAAGTGTGCCACCATTGGGATCTCAGTAACTAATGTTTTTACAGCAAACTTTAAATGGGGAACATTCCCTTGTTTTTAAAGAGGTTCAAAAATAATTAAATACAATTTTTGTAAATGGCCGTCATTTTCCAATATGGCGGTCAACTTTAAAATTTCTTATGGAACACCCTATATTTTATAATGTTTTCGGATAGAACATGCAATTTAAAAACTTTTTTATTCTTGACATTTTTTTGATAAACCCACTCGTTTAGGAGTTACAGCCTATGGAAAAATGACTTCCGGTGTACATTTTACATCATGTAGCTCCTAAACAAGTAGGTTTATAGCGAAAATGCGAAGAGTAAAAATAAGTCAAATAAGTCTTAAAATTGCATCCTCATTCCAAAAAGACCATAAAATTCGTTAAAAATATTAATTCTATTATTTCAAAAATGGCGGCCATTTTCCAAAATGGTGGCAAACTTGAAAAGTGGAAAACTGTGTATTTTATGGTCTTTATAGAATGTGGATGCAATTTTAACACTCATTTGATTTATTTACTCTTCGCATTTTCGCTATAAACCTACTTGTTTAGGAGCTACATGATGTAAAATGTACACCGGAAGTCATTTTTCCATAAGCTGTAACTCCTAAACGAGTGGGTTTATCGAAAAAATGTCAAGAATAAACAAGTTTTTAAATTGCATGTTCTATCCGAAAACATTATAAAATATAGGGTGTTTCATAAGAAATTTCAAAGTTGACCGCCATATTGGAAAATGGCGGCCATTTACAAAAATTGTATTTAATTATTTTTGAACCTCTTTAAAAACAAGGGAATGTTCCCTATTTAAAGTTTGCTGTAAAAGCATTAGTTACTGAGATTCCAATGGTGGCATTTTAAAAAAAAACACCCTGTATATCCGAATATCAGTCTTGGTGGCAAAGATGTTTAAATTTGGTTGTTTTAGCGAATTTCCCATATAGGGAATAAGCTAATACCGTAGTACTCATGGTAAGACCTGGACGCGGGACCGATTTTTTTTTTGTTTTGAGGTCCCTAGAGGCCAAAAACACCATCCGTTCAAATTCATATATATATATATATATATATACAGTAGAACCTCTTTAATCCGAACCCCCGTAATCCGAACGTCCACTAATCCGAACCCCTCATTGCTGTACTCTATAAATAGTACAGCAGTTCTTTATTGTATACTTTATTTAATGTACAGTACTGTTTATTCACCATGTTTACTACTGTATTAAATAAACACTGTATTTTAATTTATAAAACATTTTTTTCACTTTTCCCAAAATAATTTAGATAAATTTTAGCCATGTTTTAGCTATTGTTATGTAAAAACAACAATATGTTCTGTAATCCGAACTATTCACTAGTCCGAACAACCCCTGGTCCCAATTAGTTCGGATTAAAGAGGTTCTACTGTATATTTATATATATATGTGTCCGTCAGCACGATAACTCGAGCAAAAACGATCCGATTTTGATGAAATTTGGTACAAACGTGTAAACCTACGTTTATTTGAACGAGTTCGCGATCCAGCATGATCGGACCATGGGAACGGGTGTTTACGGGGGGTTTTATGGGGTAAAAATAGGTTTTTCCCATTTTTGACCCAAAAAACATAAAATTTAGCAAGTTATTTCCAAACCATTTTGTAGAGCTTCAAAAAATAAATAATTTAGTATATTGAAGCGTTATTATGCGCCTAATGGTTACGGAGAAAATTCCAAAAAATTTTAAATTTAAAATTCCCATGTTATTCTTATGGAGAATGAGTAAACTGTTGTAGTTTGCTTGTTTATGAACATATTTTGATCAAATTTGGAAAATGTTTTTATTTCTTACTAACTATTAACATTTTACAAAAAAAAACAGTTTTACCCTCCCTGATGCAGCAAACCTAAGTACTTGTTTTAACCTAATTCTATTTAAATCGGGAATAAATGTTATATTTTTAAGTAGACATTTCAGTGTAAATCCAATCAGTCAAATGGAAATTCGCTTAGTCTGCAGGTTTGCTGCGGCGGGGGTATTTAGTTGAATTAATCACCGAATCAATTTTAGTCATTTATTTACTGACCCAAACCACAACTAATTTTTATCTTATGAGAAACTGAATAGCATTTAGTCATATAGTAAGTACAAATCGGTGATTTTTAGTCAAACAATTCGTCAAATCAATTTTTATTTTTATTCTCTGTTCCCCTAATTTTACCTGATGATGTGTAGATAAACCGAATAACATTTAGTCAATACCCACCTCTTTAAACTGTTTTCGACTAGTCTGCTCCATTTATAAAAGTAATATTTTAATTTAATGTATCAATTATAGGGTTAGAAATCTCACAATTTGTTATAAATTATGTATGTATAACATCAAAAAGGCAAAAACAAAAAAAAATCATTAGAAAAATTAAATTCACAAACTTTTTCTTTGCATTTTAAAATCAACTACTATAGTTTTGTGCTAACGTGATTTATTGCTATACGAAGTGATACAATCCACTCGCACTGTGTAATAGCTCTGTGTGTGCAATAAAGATTGGGTCAGTCCAGTCTCCAGTCTCTCAGTCAGTGATTCAGTGTTGCCAGATTGACCAGCATAAATGATCGTACAAGCAGTCTAAAATTATTGTATTTGGGCAAAACTATTATACACATAAGATATTTTATAATTATGATTTAAAACAAGATTTAAACGTAAGTCGGAGATGAAATAACCGGAATTTGACTCTTTGTCTCTGCCACTCACCGCTCTGGCTCTACCAGTCTACCACTGAGCAAGAAATACTACCAAAGGTAGCACTTTTTGACACTGCATCTCTGCTAGATAGTCGAAAAGCTGTAAAATTTATTTATTTTGGTACCAACTAAAAGAATCAACCTGCTCATTGGCTAATGGCTTTATTACAAAACCAGAATCCCCTAATCCTCTATTTCCAAATTCCTATGGACTAGTTTACTAAGTAAGTACTCTACCCCTAGTACAAATGGCTGCCAAAGTCACTCAATTGAATTCTCTCGTTAAATACACCTCCAGTTGTATTTCTAGCTCAGTGGACCCTCCTCTCTACATAGCTGATGCCTTTGCAAGGTTGCCAGATCAAACAGCAACGAAGCGATGTTAGCGTTTTTCTTCAGATTACAAGTGGCAAACGTTTCTAAATGTATACAGTATGAATCTATATATAGTTTATTTTTCTTGGCACCAAAAATTATAGTACCTACTTTATGACAAATAATCGTTCACATCGTCAAAAATGATTGTGATATTTTACAAAATTATTTTTAATGGGGAAGTGGCAAAAATATAGTACAAATGCGATAATTATTATAAACCTTGTTTTCTTGTTGATTTTTCACAAGCACCAGCACCGAGAACAGGATGTCAGACAAAGATCAGGATAAAGATATGGCGGGAGTGAGTGTAGCTAGGTTGTGTAGCGGGTAGCTAGTAGGTAAGTTGGATATCAATAATATTTGAACTGCTAGTTGCTAGGTGAATTATTAAATCGTTCTTGTTCTTGTTATACAAATTATTCTTCACATTACAAGAGTAAATTTAATTTTTTTTATAAATCACCGAATTGCTGGGTTAGACTAATTTAACCGAATCAGGATAAAATAACCGAATTTGTCTGTTTGGCATCAATAACCAATTGATTCGGTTATTTTCATTCAGTGATTCCCACCACTAGAACTACAGAAGCCAATAAGAGGAAATGAATAACGTACTCATCCATAGGGGTTGAGAAAGATGATTTTTTGTATAAACTTAACCCATATAGATTGACTTCTTTTGCTCGTGAGTTTGCTATTGACAAATGTACCAACGAAGCTACTACGATATTACTTTGAAAGTATAATTTAAATTAAAAATAAGGACAAAGAGATGAGTAAAGTTCACTTGCCTTTGTAGATTTGTAACTTCAGTAGTCTTCAGAATTTTTCACTGATCATTAACAATCCTCAGTTCAAATTCTGGAACAATACATTCAAAGGATAAACTAGACATACACAATATAATACAGGATCAGTGTTCGTGCAAAATCAAATTTTAGGAATTAGAAGCCAAACTAGTGGCTTGTAGGGGCAATAGCCCCTATATACAGGGTGAATAAAAAGTCAAGACCCCCCCCCCCCCCCCCCGTCTAATATTTTTCCAAGTAAATATACAGAGATATCCTTTTGGGGATCGTGCAATCTTAGCAGGAAGTTTCATTTTATGATTTTCAAAATTTTTGAGTGTCCCCCCCAAAAGAGGGATTTGGGGGGTAACTCAAATATTTTAAATGTAAACCCCCATCAAGTGACACCTCATTTTGAAATGTTTACAAAAACTTAAAGAATGGTGAAAACCAGAGTTCGCTATCTCTTCTCTTTCCAAAATGGTAGCCAATATTACCATTACGAACCAATATTAACCATTGATTTTCCACAACATTTGACGGGCTACCATTTTGGATAGAGAAGAGATAGCAACCTCTAGTTTTCACCATTCTTTAAGTTTTTGTAAATACTTTAAAATTAGGTGTCACTTGAAGGGAGTTTACATTTAAAATATTTGAGTTACCCCCCAAATCCCTCTTTTGGGGGGACACTCAAAAATTTTAAAATCATAAAATGAAACTTCCTGCTAAGATTGCACGACCTCCAAAAGGATATCTCTGTATATTTACTTGGAAAAATATTAGATGGGGGGTCTTGACTTTTTATTCACCCTGTATATTCTAGTAATAATTATTTTGATCAAATTATTAGTCTCATGGGTTACCCTACTTATTACTTATTACGGGTTACCCTAATTATCGTTTAACATTTTTGTATATTCCCCTATAATATTTATAACAGTTATTACATACCTGCATAATGTATTTTGTGTCTGCTCTGTTGAAATTAAAATTCCAAAGAACTGTTAATGCGGTGTGTTTATAATATAAACTTTCTAATCATAATACAACTAAGGAACTTTTTAAATAATAATCTTCATTGCTTATTAATTACATGCATGTATATAAATGTCTGAATATAGGCACAAATTCACTTAGATAAAATACATGGAGATATTTTTTTTAACAAATGCAAATTTTTGTGAAAAATTTATCTTTGTAAACCTAAACTGCATATTAGGATCTGTAGATAATAGTTTTATTTTTGTCATGAAAAATATGTTCCCTTTGCCTACTCCAGTAATTACTTCTAAGTTTAGACTTTTTCACACATACCTGACACAATCGATCGTACTCCATTAGCTAATCCAGACCCTAGGTTCATATATCTTTATGAGCATCACTATTGAACCAACTTTAAAAAATAATTTTTGTGGTGGCATTCCGTGTAATTGAATTTATACAGTCAATTGGTATGATCAACCTCTCTGTAGGGTTAGTATACATATTACAGTACATATTACATATTACCATATGCTTTAAATAAAGTTAAACCACATGTTTCAAAGTAAACAAAGCAGACATGAGCTAGATTCTCATGTCATTTAAATGTGAATTATTTTATTCCGTATCAACCTTTAGGTCCATAATTGAGAAAAATGAATAATTTTCCCCAAAATTTCATGCACAGACCTTTAAAATGGGACCTCTCCCAGCTTTCTACGGCCTCCCGTTCGCTCACAATTTCATTGTAAAATTTTGGGCTTACAGAATTAGATATATAGACTAGTGGCTTGTAGGGACAATAGCCCCTATATATATATTCTAGTAATTATTTTGTACATATTATTAGTCTCATGGGTTACCCTACCTTGAATTATCGTTTAACATTTTTGTATATTATAATACGTATAATAGTTATTACATCCGTTACCTGGTACTTCTTTTTTTTGTATTCGAAAGTGATACAAATGCCATAGCGCTATTGTACTGTCTTATATTTTTCACAAAATGGACATTTTTAAATAGGTCTTGCAGCTCATTGTTATTTTGAGGCTGTGGTAGGTGTATTAATTAGGCCATTGTGGCAGCAAGAGTTGTAGTGTCCACTTGTCAATTCATCAATGAAGTGCAATGCACCACAATGAATGCACTCATCGTTCATTGGTCCTACGCTGTGTAATGCAATTTCATTTAAAAGTGGTAATCTATACACAGGAATAACTTCATGTTCATCTGGATGCTCATTTATTCGTCTTCCATTTATATCGCGCCAAATCTGGCGCCTGTTGTTCTCATTTCGAGGAACAATACCTCTGCGTGGCGGCCTACCCCTGCGTGGTATAGTCTTCCAACATTATTCATTATTAGGCTGCACTTTACTTGACGTCCTACACTCATTCGAATGAAAATATCGATCGATATATCGATTAATTGATTGATTCATTCGATATATCGTTTTGGTTAGTTAGGTAAGGTTAACCTAACCTAACTAACCAAACGATATATCGAATGAAACAATCGAATGAAAATATCGAATCGAACAAAACAATCGAATGAGTGTAGGACGTCAAGTACTGTAAAGTGCAGCCCATTATTACTGTGTAAAAGAACAATCTATTGTAAAGTATTAAGTTTAAAAGGGTCAAAATGTTAGTTTAAAAGATTTGATCTAGCCTAATTTTCACATTGTGTTGTTTACTACTTCACTAACATTTTTACAATAACAAAATAATACACATTGAGGTGTGGTTATAATTCTTTCAATTTATATAATCACAGCTGTTTTTACACTAAAAGACATAAAATTGGGAAAATTCTATTTCAGCTTTATTATAATAGTTTACTTATTACAGTACATATTACTACCTTTTACTATTAATACAACTTCTGTAGCCAATAGTCAATGATATTACCATATGCTTTGAATAAAGTTAAACCACATGTTTTAAAGTAAACAAAGCAGACATGACCTAGATTACCATGCTATTTAAATGTGAATTATTTTATTCTGTAACAACCTTATGGTGCATAATTAAGAAAAATGAATATTTTTCCCCAAAATTTCATGCCCAGACCTTTAAAATGAGACCTCTCCCAGCTTTCTACGGCCTCCCGTTCCCTCACAATTTCATTGTAAAATTTTGGGCTTACGGAATTAGATATATAGATGTGTAGAGATAGAAATTTTGTATTCACAAATAAAGTACAAGTACAATGCACATCTCATTGTCAAAGACAGTACATAGAGTAGTCTAGTAGACTAAAAAAAACAATTAATTAGTTAGCCGATGTATTCTGTGACAGATGAAAACAAATAATAATGACATGCTTAATGAAATCTGGCAGATAGGATTTCCTGGTTGGTGTAAAACTCGCCTTCCACTGGATATTTTTAAAGCTCTTTATCAAAACCTTTAGAATCGAACTTTGAACTCCACAGGAAGCTTTCTTATAGAAGAAGGGTCCAGTAAAACTTGCATTCCTTCTAAAGTGTGTCAGAGGGTGACATGGAGTACACGAAGATCCCTTCCATGCCTGGTAGGGCATCTATGAGATTGACCAACTGATAACTTGATAACTTGTTTATTTTACCTGTGAAGGTTTAGACCAAAGGTCCACTCCACCACCTTCACAGGCTACAAAAACACATACAAATTGACATTTTGTGAGTACCTAATAGCCTTATATATTATGTGAGTAGATCGAATATAACAAAAACTTCTACTTATAAACTAAAATATTTTTCATCTAAAGATACAATTTAACAAAACTTGTCCCTAAAAACTAAACATCATTTTCAACTTTTATACAAACAAAATTGTTCTTATTGAATAAACATAATTTTTACAAGTTAACATAATACTTACAATTCGGTAAACTTAAGTTTGAAAATAAACTAAACATAATTAATAAACATTATTATTACAAATGCAATTATAGTCTCAAAACTACCAAAATAATACAACATCAATATCTATCTAATATACTGATGGAAGATCCTTCTGATGAACCTTCCAGATTGCGCCTAATTTGTATTGTGCCTACTATTAATTAACTACTACACTGTATTATAGGCTAACTTACTTAACATGGTTTACGATACCTGCATATAGTAATCCTTTGTTAGGTACTACTTTAGTAACTAGTTTTGGTTAACCGGCTGCACTTTACTTTACGTCCTACACTCATTTGAATGAAAATCGATCGATAGATCAAACTCAAGATATTGACCCGACAAATATATAGGACAAATATACCGCAGCAAAGACATTTAAAGACATTTTAAAGACATTTTCCGGGTCTTCAGAGATATGGTGGTTAAGGTTTCCCTAACCTAACTAACCAAACGATATATCAAATGAAACAATCAATATTTTCATTTGGTTGTTTCATTCGAATGAGTGTAGGACGTAAAGTGCAGCCGGTTAACCATCATCAGGCCTCAAGGTTTGAGGTGATCACTTCATTTGAAGGTCGTTAACAGAGTTCAATAAGTAAAACATATGTACGAGACACAAAAACATCGAATAAATAAACGGTTACAAGAACACAGAACACACATAGGTTTTGATTTGTTTGAGACAATTTCATTTAGGTGTGAATTTGTTAATTTGTGAAACAGCATACTTAGGCCCTAGGCCTAGGAAAAGTTTACCTGTGTGTAAAAACATGTTAACTTACAATTGCTAATTTTTTATGCTTTAACTTAGTAACTGTAGGAAAAATATAAGTTTAACCCTTTGAGTGCCAACGTCCGGCCGACCGGACGTTTTTAGAACGACCCAAAAGTGCCAACGTCCGGCTGACCGGACGTTTCGTAATGATCGAACAGTTGTCATAACAACCGAATGGATACTCGGATTCTTTTAACCCATATATTAACATTGAGTCGAAAGTTACTAGATGCGATACATCGATTTTCGTTGGTCGAAATATCGAAAATTCGATTTTTACGAAATTTTAACCTAAAAATCGCCAGATCGCGCTCGGCATTTTTAGCGCGACCTTCGGGAAAAATCATCGGCATTTTTTTAGCGTTACTTTTATTTCTCGTCTGGCACTCTAAGGGTTAATGTATTGGTATAATACGAGCGCACGCTTTGATAGCACTAGAGAAACTTTCCTCGTGCGTAGGCATAATGTTTCTCTCAAGGGGTAGGCCTACACTGCTTCCATATCTGTTGGCACAAAGAACCGAATGAAAATATCGATCGATATATTGATTATTTGATATATCGTTTGCTTAGTTAGGTAAGGATAACCTAACCTAACTAACCGAACGATATATCAAAACAATCGAATAATCAATATTACTCATCCGGTTGTTTGTGCCAACAGATACGGAAGTGTACCCCTCTCAAGTGCAGTAAAGTGCTACTTTGCCCACTACAGTAGTTACAGGCCTAGTTCTACAGGGTAATAGTTTCTAAGCAAATGCCTAAGTTATTTAATAGCCTAAGTTAGGCCTAGCTACAAGCAAGGTTCCTCTTAAACAAGGTAGCCTAAATTTAATTAAAAAATTGAAATTACTTACCGTTACTTAGTAGCAATTGATCAGAAATGTATTAGTACATTAGCATCCAGTGACAGTTAAAGCAAACGTTTTCGAAACTCTGAGGGAGGGAGGGAATTAATTCAATTCAATTGAATTCACATCACATGTTCACATCTCATCAGAGTCTGTTTTCTTCAGTCAATCAATTGCACGACAATAACTTGATACAAAATAAAATAGGTCTAAACTTAGTAAATGTGTAAAATAAGTTACTCAATCCAGGAATTGGTTTCGGATCAGATTACAATATTTCGAACAAGAACAGAACAGACATAAATCAGAATTAAAATTAAAATAACAATAAAATAACAACAAAATAAGAGAATGAAGGAATTATTATATTAGCCTAATATTATTGTTTGTTTTACAGTTTTACAGTAAGATTAAGATTCCCTCTCCTTTTTTTCTTTTATCAAAACTACATCATTTTTTGTGTAGGTTAGGATTTAGGAAAATGCATGTAGCCACAAAACAGCTGAAAGCCAAGTCAAATAATCAATTATTAAGGCATTTGTTTATTCTTTCTTCTTCGAACATAATTGGTAAAACAACTGTTCCCGAATTAAGCCCCCCACACACTACCAGACCAGACCGTCTTGTCTGGCGTCTGGCACTTGTCTTATCGTGTGTGGGGCTGTCTGCAGACCGATTTTCTCGGACCAGACTGTCTGCGTGTCTGATGGTTGAACCCTCAGACCACAGACGGTCTGAGGTTCCCCCACCACTATTTTTGTCTGGTCTGTGAGTGTGTAGCGCTGTCTGTCAGACGGCCGACCATCGTGACAATCTTCATCCATTTGTTGGAGTTCTCACCACGGTCTCTCAATTACGAATTAGGACCGTCTGGTCTGGGAGTGTGTAGAGCCATCCAAGACGGTCTGGTTGCAGCCAGACGGTCTGGTCTGGAGGTCTGGTCTGGTAGTGTGTGGGAGGCTTTATAATTGATGTGTTGCCAATTGAAGTCAATGGTATTACATAGTTGTTGTAGCCAGGTTTTTAATAAAATTTGTTTCAGTTGATGTGAGCCACCTACAGATTGCGCTGATCTAAATTACTGATTTCTGCCGATTACATGATGGTTTTTACCAAGTCAAACTGATAGAATGACATATTATGAGCTATATAACAACTGTTGTGACCCAGCAACTATGTCAGTAACGAAAAATAAGGTACAAAATAGAGTTTTAGACACTAGCGGAATCTGTGACTGGCTCACACAACTACATTCTTTTTTAGTAAAAAATTTGCGACAGCTGATCCATATAGATGGGATGTCTTCTTTTTCTAGACATTCCATCCCCATGTTAAAGTTGAAGCCAAGGTTTTTAATAAAATTTGTCTTAGTTGATGTGAGCCACCTACAGATTGCGCTGATCTAAATTACAGATTTCTGCCAATAACATTATGGTTTTTACCAAGTCAATCTGATGGAATGACTTATTATGAGCTATAGCACAGCCACCTCTAATACAGCAACTGTTGTGTGACCCAGCAACTATGTCAGAGTGAAAATTTAAAAACGTACGTTTTCAGGAAAAGCACTTTGCAAATTGTTTTCCCATTTTTTCAAAACTTTTATTATTATTTTTATTTCATTAACATTTGAAGTTTCATAAAATGTCCATGGTAACGCAATATCTTTGGTATTTTTTTAAAAAAAGAGCATCTTTTGTGTAACTCCGAAAAAACTTACCTGAGACCCGAAAAATCGTTATGTTTGTATAGAGGTGTGCTTCTTTTGTGTATAAAACATTGAAATATGACGATATTTTAATTTTTGAAATTTTTATGATAGAAATCATAAACGTGATGGTCAGGGACAAGCGGTACGGTTGTGAATTTTCTGAAATAATCTAAATCTTTCTAAACAATCCTTCAATTATACTGTTAGTTATAATAAAAATAAGTGTTTCAATTGAACTAAACTGTTCAAATTACAACTATATTAAAGTTATTGTCACGACCAAACACACTATAACCCACAAGGCTGGATTGGTCGTGAAAAAACCCGCGATGGTCGTGAAACTTTGGTCGTGAAATTACGTGTTATTTGGCTCTGTTCTGGCGGTAGTCCTGCACCTCATGTTCGAGGATACAAAGTGAACTTCTAGGTTAATCTAGCAATTGAAATATCTTATAAACAAAAATTAACACCATGTCTACTTCATCGAATGACTATGTACGGTCATGGACACACCAAAATTACAAAAAAACACAATCTTTCCTTTATTAATCTTGTAATTCCTCCTTTCAACTCGAAATGACCGGCACTACAATCCTGACGTACACCCCGAACTAGTCTCTAAAACCAACTGACTCCATCGACGCCAGGCTTGCCACTGTCGTGCTCCAAAGTTGAAAATTTTTCCCAAATGGTCGTGATGCCAAATCGAGGGACAGACTTATTTTGTCATGGTAGTCAGTTTGCAATGACAATAAAATTATAATATGCTCCTTTTTTGTAAGTTTAATAACCATTGATGACATAAAAATATGGCTTTATATATTTCGGCATGAATAATTAGTCTAAAAACAGCGTGAAAGTTGGAAAATGTACCCTAGGGACACGTCATGGTCGTGAATTTCAAGACTTTGAAAATACGAAAAAAATACCTAGAACCTATTTAAAACCAAATAAATGTGTGTAACATGTTGCCCCCGTCCCAAAAAATATTAAAACACATAATAATAAACTACAAATCCAGTATCTACGAAGTAAAAGGCCAGGGACATGAAAACGTACGTTTTTAAATTTTCACTCGTCAGTAACGTAAAATAAGGTACAAAATACAATTTTTAGACACTAGCGCAATCTGTGACTGGCTCACACAACTTCAACTACATTAATAATGGTTTAGTTTACCTCTGTCAATATGGTCCTTGCATAGTTTGTCACTACTGCAGTTTCGTGCTCGTGGAGCACATCATACGCCCCAATTGCCCCAGTTTTTATATTGGGCAAACATCACGCTCTTTTGCAACTAGATTTAAGGAACATTTACTAAGAAAGAACTCCAAATCAGCTTTTGCCAACCATATCATTGATTCAAACCATAGTTATACCGATATACAAACAAATTTAGAAGTAGTGCATCCCAGACAGCACACTTTCTCCTCAGGACATCCCACGGATATTGCGACAGGATATGCAAGATATCCCATAGTGGTCCTATGGTCAACTTGGGATATCACAGGATATCCACAGGAATGCCTAATGTCCCCGCCCGGGGATGTCCTACGGATAAGCTCACACGCATATCCGTGGGACATCCGAGGTCATCCCAGGGTAGTCCTCAGGACATTCTCAGGACAAATGGGACTACTATGGGATGTCCCTGGGATAAAGTGTGGTCTGGGCCTGAACATAAAAAACACAAAATAATATAGATTTAGTATGAAAAGCTTAATTATAAGTCTAGTAAATTGATTAAATAGTTAATAAACACAATTTTTGAAGAAAAAAACGAGAAAAAAGTTTTAGGCCCAGACGGGTTTCGAACCTGGTACCTTCGCCTTGTGAGCCTCTTACCTTACCTCCTGAGCTATCTGCGCTTGTTGATCTTGGGTGTTTTCAAGTGGTTAAAGAGTAGCCGACAGTTGCAATGGTCGCAATACTTAAAATATTTTTGATACTACAGTATAGGCTATATATGATTCTGTTAATCTGTTTAGACCTCAAGTAGGCTAGTTGAATTGTTTTTCTGGTAGTTGGAGAGGATACTGGTATTTGAATATAGATTATTTAATCACCATTAGATTAGCACTGTAATAATTGATTGTTATATGATTAAAATTAGTTTTTTGTTGTTTTATTAATTTAAAGTTAGAATTAAATTCACATTTCACACAACTATGATAGAACTCTAGTTTTCCTGAACTCAGTGGTAGTAATATGTCAGTAAAGTAAAGTCAACCCTTGCTAGCCATAGTATTAACAAGACATATTTTCAATCTGGGAAACCTTAAACTTTTAAAATAAATTATAAAACCTCAACATCTTAATGGGTGGGAATCTTATTTTTAGAAAAAAAAACAGACCAAAATTATTTGTTAAATAATGAAGACGGCCCAATTATAAATTCGGAATTACTGAAAATAATTACATCAAGAACAACACTGTAACATATCCAAAATTCAAAAGATTAATTTTTCTAATACCGTATTATTTTTTATTTTTCCAATATCCTTTAAATCATCTGTTTTAACTTTGTTTAAAATTAATTTATTAAGTAAATATTTACTTTTTGTACTAGTGTAAACACAGCCTGAAGATGGAAACCAAGTTTCTGAAAGCACTAGTGAAAAAAACTAATTATTATTATATATTGGCCTTGTTGAACATTTAAATTTAGATATACTGTACATTTCATCAGTGGTAGTATTTTTTTTCTTCAGTTTGTTACCGGGACATTACGGGACATTACAGGATATCCAGTGGATTTTGTACATGTCCCGGGATGTCATGGGACATTCTGGGATATCCTATGGCATTCGTACATATCCCGGGACTTTACAGGATATCCTGAGGTTAACTTACAAATCCCGGGACATTACGGTATATTGTAGGATATCCTGTGAATTTCGTACTCGTCCCGGGATTTTGCGGGATATCCTGAGGATAGCGCACATATCCCGAGACATTCTCAGGACATATGGGACTACTATGGGATGTCCCTGGGATAAAGTGTGCTGTCTGGGATACTTGTCATAAAAGTAAATACATGGACACCATCGAAGAATTTGAGATTTACCGAGCAGCTAAAGTACATCCAAACCATATTTTAAACGAACAACTCTCATTCCAGTCAAACATTATTTATAACTAGTTGCTCTGCCCGTGCTTCGCTACGGGGTGAAAATGCAGAAAAGAATAATTCGGTTTTACTTTAAGATACTATAATATACTATGAGAAACAGTTACAATACACTTACCAGGAAACATATAGGCAAAAGCTCAATCCTGCTTATTGATTATTTAAATTAAGATCTCTTAATTACAGTACTATCATTTTATATAGTGTATAGCATTTAAAATATATATAAAAGTAAAATTCATTGACCATTCATGGTACCAAGAAACAATTCTCCTTGTAAACAAATTAAATTAAATAGCAGAACAGCATTTCTGACAACAGCTGTAGTTTCATAACAATATTTGTTTCCCATGTTAATCTTATGGAGAAATACGAAACTTCAAAGGGCCCCCAGGCCTCACTCTCTAATTATTTCCCCAAATACC